AGGCTGTGGGACTAGACAGGAGGCTGCGGGACTAGACAGGAGGCTGTGGGACTAGGGTAGAATAAAGACCCTAAAACTGGGCCTCCGTGGGGCAGGATGCTAGGAGCTGGAAGGGTGGGACAAGTAGGCCGAGATCCCAGCCTCAGGGAGGCAGGTAGGGTTCTGATGGAGGTCAGAGGTGAGAGCTCAGGTGAAGTCAGGCAGGTAAAGGGCCTCAGATCCTAGGAGCCTTTGGGTGCTACTCAGGTAAATCATCTTTCCCAGGGAGATGCCAAGGGCCAGGAGAAGGCAGCCTAGTGCTTTGCAAATAGGATTGTGTGTGCATGTGTGTACGGATGTGTATGTGTATGCATGGGGGTCTGTGCAGGTGTGTGTGTACGTGTGTGCAAACCTGTCTGGTCCCTTCTCACGTTGTGCTGCCTACAAAGTCCCTGTCAGCGAGGTGGGAGGCAAAGAGGAGTGACAACAGGCTGAAGGACTAGATTGGAGGCTATGGGACTAGACAGGAGGCTGCATCGACAGCAAGCTACAGGACTAGACGGGATCCCCACCTTCCCAGGGATCCTGAGTAGTGGGTAGGGGGCCATGTGGGTCACCACTGCTCTAGCCCTCCTGAGGGCCCCCCCCCCTGGAGGTGTTGCTGTTGCTGGGTACACCTGGAAAATGAAGGTGTTTTGTGGCTCAGATGCCCAGCTGTGGGGGTGGGGGCTGCAGGGGAGCCCCTGAGGGAGTGGGAGGGCAGCCAGCCCTTGGCAGGACCTAGGCAGGCAGAGTCTCCAGCACACGGCCCCCAGGGAGCCCCTACCAGCCATCGAGATGGAGGACAGCAGGACGAGGGTGGGGAAGACACACACCTGAGACTAGAGAGGCCCAGTCTGGCCACCTACACCTGGTGCGGGTGCTGGGCTTTATCTCATAGCCCAGCTGTCCCTGTGGACTGGCGCAGTACACTCATCAGGGGCAGACTCTGGGAACCCGGAAGGGGCAGCTTCCTGCCACCGTGTGGCCTGCCAACCTGGCAGTGCCCTGTCCCCACCTGCCTGCCTGCTCAGCCAGCAAGATTGCTTGTTTCTCAGCCCCATGTGTGGCAGCCACAGGTTAACAGCCATCAGCACGGGCGGTCTGGGTGCGAGTAGCACCAGGCTCCATCTGCAGGGGAGAAACTGAGGCCAGGCAGCCTCCAGGGCTACCTCCCATCCCTGACTAGTCTTATTCAAGCTCAAAGATTTATTTATTTATCTAAGATTATATTTCGTCTTGAAGTTTTAAAAAAAAGGAACACTGTAGGGAATAATAAAGCCTTTGTTTACTCATCGGCCAAAGTCAGTGAGCATCACAATTTCATCATCATCAATTTTTTTCTAACAGAAATAAATACTATCAAGTCGCCTTTGTTCTGTGATCCGTTTCATCCCCTGCCGACTGCTGAGGCTGCAGCCCCACCCCGCCCTCCCGCCCAGGATCTGTGGTTATTTTTAATGTCATGAGACAGATCTGCATTAACCTAAAGAGGCACTCAGGCCAGAGTGGCGGAGGCTTTGGCACCTGCTAGTTCCTCCATCCGCCTGGCCCATGGCCAGGGCTAGTTTTGGCCAGAGAGCAGCTGGGTTGGATCTGGGCAGGGCAGGGCGTTGAGGTGGGGGCCTGGCCTCTGTCCTGCCCACGTGACAACACCAATGGTGTCATTGCCCAGCGCAGGACGTCAGCACGGTGAGACAGCCCCCGCCTTCAGACCTCTGGGCAAGTCCCTGCCTTTCTGGGTACTGCCCCTGTGGCTAACTCTCTGAAGTGCGGAGAGAGCAGAGGTGACAGCCAGGGGACCTGCCTAGTGTCACCTGCTTACCTCTGGTTGCCGGAGCCCGTGGCAGGGTGCCCACTCTCCCTTTTAGAAACTGGAGATGGCAAGCGTGAGACGGCGCAGAGGCCCTGGCAGGCGGCAGCGGGAAACACTCGGCCACGCTTCCCCCACCAGCCTGCAGCCGGCATGAATGGGCAGTGATGCAATCAGCCAGCCTCTTGCACAGAGGAAGGGAATGCAAGGCTGAGGCTTAGGAGGGCCCCAGGCGCTGGCATCTCTGTCGTCATTCTCACCTGCCACCCCAGGCAGCAGGGAGGGGGACCCAGTCCCTGTGTCCCTGCCCTCTTCAGTTTGGGGGGGGATCATGGGGGACTTCAAGTATTCCATTTTAGGAGTAGCACCTAAAATAACTGCTTTAGGACATTTTCAGCCAAACTCTACCCATTCCAATAGATAGGCACAGGCAAGGCAGAGTGCAGGGACCGTGGGACACTGGCCCTCCACCCACCCCACACAGCAGGGGCCGTTCTTCTCAGATCTCAGGTCTCAGCATTAATTATCATAGATTTATTTCTCTGGGGCCTGATTCTTCAAATTGCAAAATTATGTTTAATCAGTTTATCTGGGAAAAACCCAAGGCATGGGTTGACTAGGCCTTTCTGAGTCAGGAAAAGAGAGGAAAGGGGCCCGAGGCCTTGGGACCTTTCAGACCTTCTGCCTTCTCGCAGCCTCTGGTAGCTCTGTGTGTGTCTGGAAGGACCCTGCGGCCTGGCCACCACTCGTCTCACCTCTGCAGTCTCACACCTGAAGTGAGAGCATTTGGCACCGGAGCACTGGGGCTCTGAGGAGTGAGGCAGGAAGCGGGGCTGTCGAAGGCCTGGTGTGATTTCAGTCATGCTAGGCTGTGCAGTGGCCATGGTCCTGAGCTTCAGGCTGGCTCCCATGCCTGGCCACAAATACACCAGCGCAGGGCTGGGGCCTGGCAGGGCCAGGGGGTCTCACTACCGTCTGCCCGCCTGAGCCACACATGCAACTTCCCAGGCATCCCAAACCATCTGTGTGGAGTCACTCTGGCCGCTGTGAGACATGCCCTTCAGACAGCAGCAGGCCAGGAGCCAACCTGTGTCCCACACGGCTGCACCCAGCTGCATGCAGCTCCGAGAGGGTCTCCTTGAGGAAAGGGCCCCCATCTCTCAGATCTGATAAGTCAAGCTGTGATGTCAGGGGGACAGCGAGGGGACAGCAGGTAGACAGTCACCCCCAAGTGGCAGGTTGGCCTTGGTGACCTATGTCTCTGGAGACCACACTGCACTCTGAGCCCTGATTGATGGGTGGGGCTTCAGGTGTGTGACAAGTCAGCAGGGAGGGAGGGAGGGGAGGCAGTTTTGATAGATTCCCGTAGGAAACAGAAGTGTCCAGGGCACCTACAGTCACACTTTCTGTGAGTCTGACCTTGGATCTAGGGAACTGTCACATTCATTAAAGCAGGTCCCAGAACATGAGAAACTGTCGGAGGGCTGGTGTGGGATGGGAGCTCAGTTCTGTTTCTGTTGGATCCAGGCCCTGGCCCCTGCCAAGTGACCCACCATGGGATTCTTTCACCTCTCAGCTTCCCCCTGCTGCTGAGGACTGCTTCACCAGGACCACTGCCCGAGACACTCACCACCTCCCTCTGTCCCCACAGTGCTGCTCACGGCCGTGAACTGCTACAGCGTGAAGGCCGCCACCCGGGTCCAGGACGCCTTTGCTGCCGCCAAGCTCCTGGCGCTGGCCCTGATCATCCTGCTAGGCTTCGTGCAGATCGGGAAGGGTGAGTGTGGGACCCTGAGCCCCTGTCCACAGTGCCGGGGTCACCCAGTGCGGAGTCAGGCCCAGGAGGGGCAGTGCCTAGGGGGATGGGGAGCTCTTGGTGTTTCTGATTCTCATGCCTGGGTCTGGTTCTCGAGCCGTGGGTGCCCAGTGATGGATCATGGCCACAGCCTGGGGTGGGGCATGTAGAACATTCTAGCCCCACAGGGCGCCCCAGCCCTGCTCACCCCCCATGTCATCTTGGCCCAGGTCTGCCTTACCCCATGGAGCGTGCTCTCCTTGTCACACGAGGGTTTATCTGTCCCCCTGTGGGTGGTGTGGATTGTCTCAACACTCTTATCTCGTTTCTTGGCTATGTGTCCTGGAGGGGTGCTCCTGTCCCGGCTGCTGACCACAGTAAAGGGGCTTACCTTACAGACAGTGTGTAGAAGTCCAGGTTCACAGCCTCCTGGGGCCTGGGCAGGGGGTTCCCCATCAATTAGGTACTTGGGGAGGCTCCACGCCTGGCCCTTCCTCATGAACACATGAGCGTCCAGAGGGTTCGGGCCAGACCATCTTTATCAAGCATGTCATTCCGTGCAAAACCATTAGCAAGGTGTCCAGGAGGCATTAGCTACCATGAAATCAGCTTTATTCCCAGGTGACTCCTGGAGGTGGGTGGGGCTGGGGAACCTCTCACACCTCGTGGAGCGCTGGGCAGGTAAAGACCTGTGTTAGGAACAGAAGAAAAATTGTCCATCCTGTGCCACCTGACACTGTCCTGCCAGGAGCTGTGTGCTCTAGAGAGGGAGCTTGTTGGGGGAGCATTCACTGGCCTGCTCTGAGGACATGGAGACTGGAGGGGTTAGGAGAGGAACCTGACTTTTGAAAAGCAAACTCTAGTAGGGACAGCAAAGAGCCTTTGTTGGCCATGAATGTGTGGCATGCTTTCATTCTGTTTGCTGCTGCAGACATCCTGCCCTCGGCAGCTCCGTTCTGAGCTCCAGGGTATAGTGCAACATCTGCAAAATTCCTGTCTCCTGTTTTTCTTCGAGAGATTTGTTTTGTTCCCGGATGAATGCTTTCCTTCTAGAGGACACACTGTTGGAATGTTGACCCCTCTCTCTCAAAACAGTTGCCCAGTTTTATTTCCGTATAGGGCACAGAACCCTTGGGCAGCCTGCCCGGCCCCCACACCGGTAGCTGGGGGGCCCGGGGTCCTTCCAGGCGGAGGCTCTGGCTCTGATTGTGCACAGGCTGGTTGCCGGCCCTGGGTCTGGAGGCTGTGTCCAAGGTCTAGCAGAGCATGCTGGACCCATACCCCAGTCTCTGCCTTTCACCCTGGGCATCCTGCTTCACTGTTGTGGACATAGGCGCTTCCTCACCTGCGCTGGGCACCTAGGTAGACCCTGGTGCTGGCCGTGATGTTGGTGGTGAGACCTATGAGCACACCCCCACCCTCTCACTCAGCCTTCCACTGTCCTGAGCTCATCTGCATGGGGCCCCAGAAAGCCCCCAAAACATGAACACAGATTATTGGGTGAGGGACAAGAGACAATGGCTGGGTTGATAGGCACAGGGTGAGTGTGTGATGGGTAGCCCTGCTGCACCCCTGGAAACTGGCAGAACTAGCTGGGCTAGGATGTGGGGAACATGTGGGCCTAGGGGCCATTGGGGTGTCTGGAGTTAGCCCCAGCATATTTAAGAGGAGAGACATCACCCCAGTTGAAATTTCAGATGTGAGTTGCTGCCCACTTGTTGTGGGTGGGGGTGAGGGTGCCACAGAAGTGTGTGCAGAGGCAGGGCCCAGGGCGCCCGGGCTGAATGAGAAGGAGGGGACGGGGACAGGGCACTTCTGGCTCAATGTACCTCTCAGCCCAACCTCATGCTGCTGTCTGTGTCCTGATTGTGTCAATGGGCCCCTCACCTATAGCAACCCACAGAGCCACGGCCCCAAGGTCAGGCCGTTCCCAAAGATGAGTGGGTGGCTGGCATTTTGTTTCTGAGACTGAACGGATGGGAGGGGGCAGGCCCAGCCCTCAGTGCCCAGCGACAGTGGCCAGGTCCCCCTGCACAATGGGCTTCATTGTGGTTTTGTTCTGGCCACAGTGTCTGTGGGGGAACAAGCTAATCTTTCCTGGGGCAGGAGCAGATGTGGTCAGACGGTTGTGCAGATAAAAGAAGCTCTGGAAGGACTTTCTTTTTCCTCTCCTCCCATGTTGCCCCACTGGGGGTCCTTACTCCCCTGGAGCAAGATTTGCCCTATGGCTCTGTCCACTAAAAGGGCAGAAAGGCCCAGGTGCCCAGGCCACGTCCAAGCGAGAAGGGACACGTGTGTGTATGTGGGCCCTGGGCTGGCCCTTCAGGGCCTCTGCAAGACTCTAGGACCCCCAGACCAGGTCGAGGATCTGGGGGACAACATGCCTCCCCCAGAGAGGGCAGGGGCAGGAGCCTCAACACCCCCCCCTTGAAAATGGGCTGATATCCTGCAGGGAGGGACAGGCACCCTGGGTGTGTCCAGGACAGGGAAGCGGCTGCCATGGGAGGTTCCAGAGGGGACCCAAAGGGATGCCCCAGAAGCCTGGCTGTGTCTCTCTGTGCCTCACACCCTGGCTCCCTCAGCACAGCCACCAAGATGTCACTGCTGGGGGCAGGGGAGAGGCCCACTACACTGGGGACCCTGAAGCCCCAGGCAGGACGCCGAACCTCAAATCTGGGATTTTCCCACTGCCCAGAGACCCTGTGACCTCTGAGGCCTGGGCAACCAGGAAATAGACCATGGGCCTTGGGTAGCGGGCACTGGAGGCCACCAGTCCCGAATCAGTGTACCGCAGGGCTGGGCTCCAGGAGGGGTTGGGCTGAGGTCTCTCCCATTCGTGGGGGGAGGGAGTAGCTCTCTGGGGTCTGTCAGATCAGGACCCACCTTCTGGACCTCCGTAACTGCTTCCTTCCTTAGAAGCCCCGTGACCAAATGCATCAACATCTGAACTTGGGGTGACATAGTTCAGCAGGACTGGAGTTTCAGGTACTGCTCTGCTAGCAGGAGCCTCAGAGTAGACCCCATGCAGAGAGACCACCACCTCTGCCCTCAACTGCCAAGTCAAAGCTTTAGTGGGAGCTCCCAGCCTCACCTCCCCTGTGTGGGGGTTTCAGGGCAGCTCCCAGCCTCACCTCCCCTGTGTGGGGGTTTCAGGGTACCTCTCTGTAGTGAGGCATCTCAGCCAGCTCTGGGTCACACCAGGATGACAGGACCCCATGCCCAGGGCCTCTGCACACCACCTGGACTCCTGCCACACCTGACAGATAACCCACATGCATAGGCAGGACAGCCAGGGCTGCCACACAGGCCTTGCCCCACCGTGTGTGGTGGGGCCTCCCCCCCACCTTGAAGGACCCCTGCTTAAGGTGGGGCCGAATGTGAGTGCTCCCTGGTGCTTGCCCACCGTGGTGCTGTGCTGATGCAGCTTGGTTGTTTGTGCTGTGGCATGGGATGAAGGGACAGGCCCTGGGCACCTGTTGGCCGTGGCCAGACATATGCAGAGGCCAGAGTGGCAGCAGGCAGAGTGGGGGAGAGGGTGGCATTCCTTGGAGGTCTTGATAGCCTGTGGAGCTGGAAAGGACACTTCCCAGCCCAGATTTGAGGCCAGGCCAAGGTTAACCTTGAAGCACAAGGCCCAACCCCACCCCCACCCCGGAGCTCGTAAGATTCGGCAGCAGCCTTGGTGAGTGAGTGTTACTGGTCTACTGTAGCTGGGTCCCCCCAAAATGAGATTCCTGCCCCCATCATGGTTCCCAGACAACAGACAGTTTCAGAGGGAAGCAGGCATGTGAGGCACAGCATTTGAGCCTGTGGTGGGGTCCCAGGAAAGAGGGAGCAGCATGGCAGTCCCTGGGCTTCCTCCCTGCACCCGCCACTCTGACCAGGAGCAGCCTGAGGATCAAGGCCCAGGCCTTGGCTGCTGTCTTCCACCTGAGCTGAAGGATGGAGCCAGGGTTCCCGGCATGGCCAAGACAGGCTGGGTATCTATCCTCTCTGTGATCCCATGGGCGCTGCCTGCCCCTTCCAGCTCCAGGGCTTCACTTCTCTGCTCATGGCCACAGCCCTCCAGTCTCTGCTGTCATGACATGCTTCCCAACATGACCTTCTGCTCTCTGTCCTGTGTCTTGCAAGGTCACTTGTCATTGGACTCGGGGCCCACAATGACTTCATCTCAAAATCCATAACATCTGGCAAGACTCACTTCCAGATAAGGACATGTCCTGCAGTGCTGGCTGGACATGAATTTGGGGGGGCACTATTCAGCACCCTGTATGGCTTAAATGACCACCACGTGGAGCTGGACGGGGCTGAAGCTGGGTGGAAGGCAGAGGCGCTGGCACAGTGCAGGGTCCCCAGTGTGAGGAGTGAGTTTGTTTTCCTGCAGCTTCAGTCCCTGGAGGTGTGTCCAGGGCTAGGGCAAGGCCTGTGAGCCCTGAGGTTCTAGGGTTCCCCAGCTGCCTGCCCACCCACCTCAGATGGCGGGTTCTCCCTGTGCCTGGGCCCAGGAGAGGTTCTGACGAGCAGTTCACCAGGCCTTTCCCTCAGGACACACAGGGGGCCAGGAGAGGTCTCAGGGGACATAGGAGCTCTGGGGACCCTTTGTCCTCTGAGTCAGAAGCCACAGGGCTGGCTGTGTCAGCCGGGTGGGGAGAAGGTCAGCTCTTGGTCCTGTTCCCATGCACATTGGTGGGTGGCCTCCCAGGATCTGTCAGGAAGGAGAAGGGTTCACCAGGGTTGGGGTGTCCCCCCCCGCCCCCCCGTTGGGTGGATGGTTCCCATGGCTATGTCCTATGACGCAGGCACTGGGGCTGGTTTTCCGTGATATTTATCGTCTCCCTGGGGCCTTCTGAATGTTTCTACCCCAATTACCCCAGTTCTCAAGGGGGCCCCAGCTGACAGAGGCTGGCTCTGCCTGGTCCCCAGGGTTGCTGTGGTATCCGTGACCTGCTGGCGCTCGGCATCTGCTTGTGCATCAGCCTTCACGGGGAACCCTCCGGCCCTGCAGGGAAGATGCATCTTAGGGACAAGCAGTGGGAAACTCAGGGCTGAAGGGGCTGAAGGGTCTGCCAAGGCAAAGGAGGGGTGACGTGGGGGGCCGTTGGCTGTGTGCTGAGCCCAGGTCCTCACGCCTGCAGAGTCCGTGTTCCCGCGGCTGTCCACAGCAATTATCACCCCTCCTGCCCCCTACTGCTGGTGGCACAGTGCTCCCTCTGCCGGGCACAGAAGACAGGCAGCTGTCCAGTGACCAGGTCTCACAGCTGTTTGTTCCACCTCTGCAGCTCCTGTGAAGTGGGGACTGAGCACAGTCAGGGTCTATGGGAGACCAGCAGGGAGGAGCTGCAGCTCTGCCCCAGCCCGGGGGCGGTGGCTTCTGGCCAGTGTTGGCTTCTGGAGGGTCCTGTAATGGGGAGCAGGGGCTCCTGTGGGGGGCAGGGCACCCCCTGGACGCCACCACTCAGTACCAGCAACACCCAACCCCTGTGCTGTAGTGATGTGTTCCTAGGTGTGCTGTGTCCTCTGGGGGTGGGGTTATTGCCCTCTGGGGTTGAAACCCCTATTCCAGAGTCTAAATCCCGACTGTCCCCAGGTACTCCTCAGGAAGGTGCATCTCCCCCTACAGCACACAGCTCAGAGCAGTTGTTGGTGCCCATGGAGCAAATGGACAAATGTGCTGGCCACCTTGTATCCTGCTGCCCTGGGGACCAGGCAGACCCCTTTGTAGCTCTCAGAGCCATGGGAGGCTGAGCCACTGTCAGCAGGACGGTGGAGTGGGCATTGGGCTGCCACACAGTCAGCCTCTCTAGCCCCAGCCCAGGAACAGCTCTGGGGATCCAGGCCTCATCACTGCCCTGGGCCAGCAGACCTGGCATCCTCTCCATGGTACCTGTGAAGAGATGGGATAGCCTGGGTTTGGTTAGGTACCCGGCAAAGCTGCCACCTATCCTGGGCCGGTGTCCTACACTGAGGGGGCCAGTGAGGCCCAGGGCAGTTGACTGCCAGATCCCTGCCTATGCTCCCCTGTCCCTGGTCTCCCATCACCAATGGGGGTCTTGGGATGGGTGGACTAGGGGCCCCCATGCAGCTGACCCTAAGGCAGAGAGCACTGCCCAGGGAGGAATGCTGACTTGCCCTCCCACCCCATCCCACGGTGGGGGAGGTGAGAAGCAAGTCTGGGGGCCACACCAACAGCTCCGGGTCTAGGGCCTGTCCCTACACACACAGCCACCTTCCTCCATGACTCATGGCACTTTGCATTGAGACCTCCAGACAACCACAGCCTAGGGAGGTTCCACAGGATAGCCCAGCCACGCCTGTGCTAGGGACAGAAGCCGCTGCTGAGAAGGGTCCCTGACTGGAGCATTCCTGGGCAGGCAGACTCTGCCCCCCCAGCAAAAGTGTGTGAGGAGGGCCCTGGGACACGGTAGGCCTCTGCAGGCACGAAAAAGTGAGCTCTTCAGAACATTTCATCAGAGCAGAAAGGAGGGAGGCCAGAGGAGCCTCTCAGTGGGCAGGCAGGGTACAGACAGGTGTCAGGGAGCCCCCTGAGAGCCAGCAGCCGCAGTCCTGGCTATTCCATGGCCCCGCCTGTCGGCCCAGCTCCCCACAGACAGCCAGTCTTTTCTGGGCTTGAACGTCCGGGGCCATCTGACAGTGAGTCTCAGGGTTGGCCAGGCACTGTGTGGCAGTGGGAGACCCTCCTCAGACACTGCTTTCCAGGTATCTGCTTCCTGGGTGGAATGGTGGCCCCATCTGGAACCATGAATGTGACCACCCTATTTGGCACAAGGTGATCCTGGATCGGGATAGGCCCCAAGTCCAGTGCCTTGTGTCCTTAAGGCAGGGACAAGTTCCACTCAGGGATGGCAGAGGCCTCACAGCCCAGTGGCTGAGGGCCTATCCTCGAGGGCTGAGTCTTCTGGGGCCATGTCCCTCCAGGGCAGCTCCTCCACCTACAGCTCCCAGCCTGGATGAGTCTGGGACACTCATGGGCAGCGGTTCCTCAGGTGTTTTCAGTCTGCCGCTGGGGAAGCCTTCGTCTCAGCGTTTGTATGTATGACAGGGTTTTGCTTCAGGAACTTTGCAGAGTGTGCAGCACGGCCTCTGCTCAGCACTCTGTGACCAGTGTCCCTTGTATCTGTTTGGCCTTTGCCAGGAGACGTGTCTAATCTGGATCCCAAGTCCTCCTTTGAAGGCACCCATTTGGATGTGGGGAACATCGTGCTGGCCCTGTACAGCGGCCTCTTTGCCTACGGAGGATGGTACGTCTAGGGATGTCTGGGTCCTTTGCCCTGGGGACACATAGTCCCTGGGCATCCAGAAATTTCCAGTCCAGGACAATTGAAGGGAGCAGGCGGCATAGGGTGGCAGATGTGGGGAGAGGACATAGTGGGAGCACTCACACTGTCCCTGCCTAGAGATATCAGTTAGCAGGAGAAAGCCAGCTCTCCTCCCAGGTCCCAGCTCTCAGGCCCGCTGGACAGGGACACTGACCCTGGGGGTCCATAAAGCAGACACCACCTTCAGTGGTCCTGCAGCATGTGAAGCAGACCCATGGGGTCTGGGGGCTCCTGTCCCCTCCCAGGACTTGCGGTGGTCACTATCCCAGCAGACCAACAGCAGGTGTCCTCAGGGCACACAGGGGTCTCTTCCCCTGCCTGGAGCAGCCAGGAGGGGTTTCCCCATTTAACTCTATATTTTTTTTCTAGTGATTTTGTGTGTTCTATCAACAAACACATAATTAAGATCTGTTCTCTACATTCTAGGAACTACTTGAATTTTGTTACAGAGGAGATGATCAACCCCTACAGGTAGGTGCAGGAGCAGGGGAGGTCTCTGCATACTCTGACACAAGAGGGGCAGGCTGGCTGTACCTGAAACCTGTCCAGTGGGTTCTGCCCAGTGGAGCAGAGATACAGGGGCTGCGGGATGTGGGCCAGGCCTGGCTTCTGTCTGGCTGTGTAAACTTGACCTTGAACAAGGCTTCCCTGATTGGGTGACAGGTACCCCTGAGGCCCCTGCGCCACCTCTAGCTGATGCTGCAGCAGCGCCAGCACATGAGGGGTGAGCCCACTCCTGGGATAGCATGTACCCAAGTGTCTGAGATGCCCCATACAGGGCAGGACGGCCAGGAGAGGAGCTGCTGGGCTCTCAGGCCTGGTTCCTGGCCATGCTGCTGGTGGCAGAGATGTAGGGGCTCAGACCAGGTAGCCTTAGCTCTCCTGAGCCCCTGCGATCACCATCCTGGACAGGCACAGCTCCCAGCTCCCTAGGCAGCCCCTGCTGGTGCCGGGCTGGGGGGCTCTCCCCATGTCTATTAGCCACTTTCTATAGGGACCCAGCTCAGGCAGCAGCTGCTGCCAGGGGCTGGGTGGGGTGTGGCCTCTCAGCTTCATCTGCCTGCGCTTCCCATCCTTTCCAGGAACCTGCCTCTGGCCATCATCATATCCCTCCCCATCGTGACACTAGTGTACGTGCTGACGAACCTGGCCTACTTCACCACCCTGTCCACTGAGCAGATGTTGACCTCAGAGGCCGTGGCCGTGGTGAGACTCGACCTGCAGTGTGGGCTGGTCTCCGAGCCTCCTGACCACAGGGCCTAAGTAGTTGCCACCGGTCTCTACTAAAGGGGACCATGGAAGCCTCACCAAGCCACCTGGAAGTGGCAGGTGGTCTTCCACATCAGCTGCTAATAGCACTCCCGGAGCTTGTGGGGGAGCTAGGCAGTGTCCTCAGGCAGCACAGCCTGGCCAGCCTACGCCACAGCTCTCAGGTCCCTGCCACTGCCCTCCTGGGCATGGTAGAAGCAGTGAGTTAAGGCTGTGGCCAACGTCTTACTTGACAGTGTTGACTCAGACCCCACTGCTTGCTAAGCTCCATGCTAGACCCTGTGGAGGCCCCAAAAGGGGGAGGGAGAATCCCCCTTCCTACAGATGTGGGCACAAATAGTGAGGGCAGCCAGACCGGTCAGATGTCCCCAAGGAAGGAAATCATATCAGGGCCATCGTGATGCCCTGTCCCTGAGAAGTGCCACTTGCAGTCCAGAGTCCATCCCTAGAGGTCATTGTACACACAGGCGCCTCCTGATGGTTAGGGAAGGGCCTGGGTCAGCGTGAGCCCCCTGAACACACTCCAGGTGGGGAGGTTACAGGCTAAGCTGCTTTAAATGGCCAGAAGTGGGCCATTTGGTGCCCGGCCTCCGGCTCACAGGCTCACAAGCTGTGTCTGCTTAGGACTTCGGGAACTACCACCTGGGGGTCATGTCCTGGATCATTCCGGTCTTCGTGGGCTTGTCCTGCTTCGGCTCAGTCAACGGGTCCCTGTTCACGTCCTCCAGGTGAGTGCACCAGGCGCAGGGGCAGGCAGCGTGGGGCACACAGCCAGCTGCAGGCAGCCTCTGCATGTGTCTCAACATAGCTTTAAGAGTTCTGTGTCTGTGATAATGAGTTATGTGTATTTTTAATAGTTGCTGAGAAGTTCAGATAATGTAGACATGAAGGCAGCATGAGCGCTAGCCTACTCCGGCTCAGAGGAGACCCTGAGGTCTCTGTCCTGGTCTCTTCTCATGGCCATACCTCCAGCATAGGGGCTAGTGGCTCCCGCAGCAGCTCACTGCCTGCTGCTGTGGTCAGGGACACGGGAGCCCACCCTGCCATCTGGTCCTGCCACCACGTATGGTGTCGTGACACCTGTTGTGAGGGGCTGGGCTGACCACCAGCTCCCTTTGCCCGTAGGCTGTTCTTCGTGGGGTCCAGGGAGGGCCACCTGCCCTCCATCCTGTCCATGATCCACCCGCACCTGCTGACGCCTGTGCCGTCCCTCGTGTTCACGGTAAGCCCCGCTGGCTCTGCCCCAGGACTGTCTGCACGAGCGTGGCCCAGGAGAGAGGTGGGTGGCTGGTCGGGTGTGGCTTCCTGTCCACCCTGCTGACACCAGAGTGCATCAGAGGTTTTTCATTTTTAGTTCCTAAAATAGCACATAGTTGTAACAAACCCAGAGAGATGTGAGGCAAAAACCATGCCCCAGGGACCCCTGCCAGTGGCGCCTTTGCCCGCTGCACGTGTCTGTCTCACAGAATCACGTCTTGGCTTAAGATAGGTCTTTCTGTGGCAGAGGGTATGATGGCATTAGTCCCCTGCTGCTATGTAACAGCCACCCCCCCAACCTAGCAGTCTGAAAGGAAAGCATTTACCACCTTAGTCTGTGTGCGGTAGGAGCTGGGGTGGCACAGCTGGGTGGCTCTGGCTCAGGAGGGTTGATCAAGGTGATGACTGGGGCTGCCCTGCCTACAGGCCTCCCCCTCCTGGCTGTGGCTGGCAGCCCGTCCCTCAGCACAACTGTCTTTACGGGATGGTAACTGGCTTCTCCCCAGAGCGAGTAGTCCATGGCCCAGCAAGGGGAGTCACTCACCCTTCTCTGCTTTCTTTTTCTTTTCTTTCTTTTTTTTTGGGGGGGGGGAGACAGAGTCTCACTCTGTTACCCTGGATACAGTGCCATGGTGTCACTGATCACAGCAACCTCAGACTCCTAGGCTCAAGCAATCCCCTTGCCTTAGCCTGCTGAGTAGCTGGGACTATAGATGCCCACCACAATACCCAGCTAGTTTTTCTGTCTTCAGTAGAGACAGCTCTTGCTCAGGCTGGTTTTAAACTCCTGAGCACAGGCAGTCCACCTGCCTCGGCCTCCCAGAGTGCTGGGATTTACAGGCGTGAGCCACCATGCCGGCCCTTGTGTGCTTCCTTGGTTGGGAGTGAGCCAGCGAGGGCAGCTGCGGCCAGGGAGTGAGGTGAGGAGGCCATGAGGTGTTCTCACGAGCCTGGGAACTGCCACACAGTTTGGCCTTGGTTTGGAACCAGCCCTACAGTGCCCAGCACGTAGGTGTGCCAGGGTTCGTCACAGTGCCCTGGCCAGCGGGTATTGTGGTCAGCTCTGGATTGTGCTCACAGGCAGTGTGTGGAGTGTAGGGTTCAGGTATGTTCTGTCCATTCGTCTTGTCCTTGAGATCCAGATGCCTCTGTTGCCTGCATGCACCTTGCATGCAGCCCAGAGCGGGCGAGAGCAGGCGAGAGCAGGCAGCCAGATGCCAGCCGAGCTGGATGGTCGTGGGTCAGGGTGGGTACCCCAGAGCAACTGTGCACCTGTCCGGCTCAGCCAGCGCTTCTCTCCCCCAGTGTGTCATGACGCTGCTCTACGCCTTCTCCAAAGACATCTTCTCAGTCATCAACTTCTTCAGCTTCTTTAACTGGCTGTGTGTGGCCCTGGCCATCATCGGCATGATCTGGCTGCGCTATAAGAAGCCAGAGCTGGAGCGGCCCATCAAGGTGAGCAGTGCCCTGGGCACAGAAGCAGGTCTCAGGGTTCGGAGGGGTCCCGGGCCTTTCAGTGCTTCCCCCCCCCCACCCTGGGAGTCCACATTCCCCCTCCCCAGGCAGACTAGAGACAGGGCTGCCTTCTGCAGAGGATCCCAGTGAAAACTTAGTAAGAACAGGTGGGTACAGTGGGGTTAGTCAGTCCAGCCGTGACTGTTGCCCATGAGCCCGTCAAGTGCCAAGCCTGACACCAGCCTCTGAGGTTCATCAAAGGACAAGCCCAGACACAGCCCTACCCTCCTGGTCTCTTGGGGCAAGCCCTCCAGCGAAAGGGGAGGCAGTGCATCCAGGAAGGGCCAGGCCAGGCACAGCACTGGGGAGCAGCCCAGGCAGGGGAGGGGGCAGGAGTTGGTCTCCCAGCATGGAGGTCATGGGGGGCTGGCCTCAACTGAATGAGATGAGGGTTTGGGGAGCACTGGGTCAGACTGAGGCTGGTGGAGGTGGGGCAGCTGTCCTCAGTGACCTGGTGGCTGCTGCCCAGAGGTCAGACCCAGGACCATGGAAAAGGCCTCAGGAGTTCACAAGGCAGCTCCGTGCTCAGGGTCATCTTAGCTCCCTGTCTGCTCCAGAAGCCTGGGGGCTGCATGGTGGATACCTTGTGACATGCGCTTTAAAACAGCGGGTGTCCCACACTGAAACCCCGAGAGCAGGCAGTGCCCAGGGGATGTCCTGGCCCCAACCCTTCCCTGGGCACCAGCTTGGCCGACATGGCTGTGAAGACCGTGGGGGCAGGTGTCAGTAGAGTCTGGCTGGTCCAGAGCAGGCCCTGGGCACATGGCAGGCCTTGCCCAGCAGTGCCCTGATTGCTTGGTGGCATCTGTTGCTCCATCTCCCAGGACAGTGAGTTTGTCTGCAGACTTAGGATGGCTGAGTCCTGTAGTGGGGCTTGTCCAGTTTCCGTGCTGGGTGGAGTTGTCTGCTCAAGTTGACCGTTTGGCTGTGGACTTGGGTGTGCTCAGCCTTGTCCACAAAGGGGTATCTGAGCAGGGCAGCCTCCCTCATTAGCAGTGTCTGCAGCCTGCCCCCAAGCGCCAGGCCCTGCTCCTCCTCTGGGTGGCCACAGTGGGTGCTGTGGCCACGGGTTTCTGTGCCTGTGATGTGGGAGCTGGACGGGCTGACCATCCCTGCCCTAGGGAAGTCTCCAGAGACTAAGCTGATTGTTGCTGTCTTAGTCATCACCTGGCTGGGCTTGGGGTTATTACATACATAGCTCTATGTCTCAAGTCTAGGGCAGCAGGGCACAAGATGTGGGCCCCACCCTAGAGGCAGACACAGACGGGCAGGTCAGACCCTGGCGATGGCTAGAACAGGAGGACACAAGGGTGCAGGAAAACAGAGCCAGGGGCCCAGGGAGAGAGGCTGGGTGGAGCCAGGGGACAGGGCGGCTCTAGTGAGGGCCTGAGGCTGGCCGAGGGGCTATGGGTGGTGTCTCAGGTGGGAGGTGCAAGGAAGAGGAGCAGAGGCAGGCCCCTGCCCACCCCCACCCCCCAGTGGCATCTGTGCCCCACCTGCAGGTGAACCTGGCCCTGCCCGTGTTCTTCATCCTGGCCTGCCTGTTCCTGATTGCCGTCTCCTTCTGGAAGACCCCTGTGGAGTGCGGCATTGGCTTCACCATTATCCTCAGTGGGCTGCCCGTCTACTTCATTGGGGTCTGGTGGAAGAACAAGCCCAAGTGGCTCCTGCAGAGCATCTGTGAGTGTCCTGCTAGCCATGGTGGCACCTGTCCCCCTAGCAGCCAGCAGCCAAACCTCCCTCCACCTCGTCCCAGGGTCAGTCGGGAGCAGGGAGGGTGGGCAGTCTCTGGGGCAGCGCGGCCGTTGTGAGCAGTAGGTGCGTCCCAGGTGTGGAGCCCAGAGAAGGGCCTATCATCCAGCTAGGTGCACTGAGTTTATACTCACAGCCAAGGAACGTGTTTGCTCACCATGGCCACAGGGTTCTTTGCCATGCTCCTCAGCTACACCAGCCGCAACAGGAATTAACAGTTCCCTGCTGGCCCACGGGTACCCGGTGTCTGTGTGCACAGATCAGGTTTCCCATAGAACTCTGGTTCCCCATACTCTACCACTTGGGGAGGCACAGTGGTGCCAGGCTTGGTGATGGTGGGGCTGCATCACTTCCCAAGGAGGGGATGCCTGCCGGCGCTCAGGTTAATGGATTTCTCCTCTCTCCTGACAGTTTCCATGACAGTCCTGTGCCAGAAGCTCATGCAGGTCGTCCCCCAGGAGACATAAGCAAGGAGGGCTGAGAAACTGCCAGAAAGAAAATGCACAGAGATTATTTTAAAGCAACTTACCCTCTCGAAAAGCAACTCCAGTTCCCCATTGTCCACCAGCTCAGCTGAGCATCCCTAGCCGCCTGGGTCCCTGCCATTCCTCCCGCAGGTGAGGCTGCCCAGACTGCTGTGAAACTGGTACGAATTTAGTCCTGGACCACAAACTCCCTTGATACCTCCTTCGGTTGAGGCAGGAGCTGTGACCTAAGAAATGGCCAGTGTTCCCGACCACAGGGCTTGGTGTCGCTCTGGGTCCTTCTCCCTTCCCACTTTGGTTTATTTGTACTTTTTTTTAACTTAAATTTTGGGTTAGCGCTACAGCGATAATTATTTTTTGAAGAAATAGAGGAGGGCGAAGTGGTAGAAGACTGTCTCTCCCTGACCCCACCACAGCACACTGAGTCTGGAAGGGGCCGGTCACCGTCACAGGGCAGACAGAACTACTGAGACTCGGCCCCAACACCTGACCTCGGACCTGCACTGACATGTGTGCTTGAGCTTTCTTGTTTTTTTGTTGTTATAAATGTAGTGAAATTCATGAAAACTAACCCTGTGGGCTTATGTCTCTGCCTTAAAGACTTGAGGTAGGTCCCTCCCCACCAGCCCCAAAAGAGAGAAGTTTGAGTGGCACCGCTGGATCCACTGGCAATGCAGCACACGGCCTGCTGGGAAGTGCTCAGCCAGGCCCAGGGCTGGGCTTGAGGACTCGGTTGGACTCCTGACCATGCTTCCTACCCAAGACAGAGTCCTGAGCAAAGGCACAGGCCTGGAGACTCCAGCCTCTCCCCCAGGACCAACAGATCTGGGCTCTGCAACCTGGGCCCATTCTGCATCCATTTTGGGGGTGGCTGAGCTCTAGTTAATGCAGAGAAAGTTCTATTCTTCAATCTTGTAGCGATAGGCCATGGTCAGACACCCTAGTGGGCTCCTGTCCAGTCCCCTCCCAGCTATGAGGGGCTGATGCCCACTCCTGTCCCTTCCCTCCTGGTCACCGCACAGCCTGTGTTTCAGTCTCAACTCCCACTGTTCCTTCCAAGTGTTCCTCACCTCTGCTTCCTGTTTCTGGAGGCCACTCTGAGTCTTTGGGGGTCATTCTGTCCACTCCCCAAGTGCAGAGGGTCTTCTCTCACTCTTACCTTCCCTATGGCATGGGGGGCAGCTGAGGCCAAGCCATGGCCAACTTTACTGAGCTGTCACTACCTCCGGGAACCAGCTGGGAGGAGAGGCTGAGTTCAGATCGCAGGGACACAAAGAACAAGAAGTCTCCCTCCAGGCCCATCTGTGCTGGGGTGGGGCCGCCCTCACAGACCCCCACCCCCGGGGGAGGCTCCTCCAGTGCTGAGGCCATCGCCCAGCCTTGGCAGGAAGAGCTGCTGTGTAGCAATGACTCTGGACACAGCCTGGAGCCCCGTGAGCAAGTGGTTGGGTGCTGCTCTGCTGGTTGGCAGCTGTTTCCGCCCCCAAACCAAGTGGCCCGTCGAGCTTGCTGTCACCCACCTGGGCGCTGGGACCTCATCGCCTCATCCACATCACCTGAGGGCCCAGGGAACCTGCTGAGCAGCTCAGGGTTCCTGGGACAGGCATTAAGGCAGAGAAGGAGTGGACCAGGCCTGCTTGGGAAGGACCTTTGTGCCAGAGGCCTGTCTGTCCCCAGCTGCTCGAAGACCAACTTCTACAGTCTTCATGTGAACCAAGCCATTCCCAGACTGAACTCCACCTGCACGTGGGAGCTGCATGGTGTCTGAAGGGACTGCGACACCAAGGGCTGGACACCTGACTACACACTGTCAGCAGGCCCAGGGTCCCGGTTTCCTCACCTGCAAATGAGTGTGCCCGCTGCTCCCCCTGCTGGTGGGTGGCCATGTCCCCACAGCAGGGCAGGTGCTCCCTGGGTATGCCTGCAGGGCCTAAGCAAGCATCCTTGTCCTCTCCCCTCTCCCTGGGGGCACTTGGGATGCTGTTCAAGCTGCCAGTTCTGGGAGGGCACAGCCTCCAGTTCCCTTCCAGCCCACAGTGGCTTCTCCTGCTGCTGTGGGTGGTACAGGGACCCACCCTCCCAGGCAGCCTCTGTTACAGGTGTGGCACAATCATGTGGGGGTGACCCGCAGGGCTGGACCCTGCTCTTGGGGTCCTTTTCATGCTGGGGCTGGGGTGGGGGCACCAAGTGTTCACTTGTTAGCAGGCAGGCAGCTCTCCTGTCATCTGTGCCAGGACCTCCACCATAGGAGGCAGGCAGGAGGCAATTAGTCTGTGACCCTTGGTGCTGTGCCCCCAACCCTGTCTGGAGACCCCACTTCAGAAGCCAGAGACCACATGGCGGCTGTATCCTGTCACATGAGTCAGGCCCGCTTGCTGGCAGTGACCTAAGACCCTGCCCAGCAGTCACTGCGTTGGGGCCTTGCCACACTGCAGTTCGGGGGAAGGCAGGTGGGACTGCAGGGCCTGTGGGAAGAGTTTGCTATTTCTAACTGTCTTTACTGGCACAAGTCCCAGGGTTCCCGTTATGGTTTTCGATTTTTGTCTGAATCACATCATTGCGTAGCAGAGTTTTGTTGAGTCATTTTGCTTTTCTGTGTTGTCCTAACAACTTACTAATTTAAAAGGATGCTGTCAGCGCTGTGATATTTATTTCCAGTGGTCAGCATTCGGCCTTGCTGTTGCTCATAAAGACAGGGCCATCCACTGTGACACCGGCTGACCAGGCCGGGACACCCTCCACTGAGGAAATGAAAAATGACAATGCCATGTGTTGCTGGGGCATCTTTTATTGTGTTAATGGCTAACTTGTTACACTAGTTTAGTTTGGGTGGGAAGTTCTATTTTTTTTGTGAGGTTTTTTTGTTCGCTTGTTTTTAAAGAAAAACGATCACTAAAAGCTATGATGTCCCGTGTTCTTTTCTCCTGGACTACGTCCTGGGTGTGGGGATGTTCTGGGGCTCCTTGGCCCACCTCATTCATTCATGGAGTCAGTGCATTAGTTTATTCACCACATGGTCCTCCAGAGGCCTGCAGGGGGAGGGGGCCAGACAGGCGGATGCAGCCTGTGTGACCTGCGTAAGGTGTCCTGGGGCATGGTGGACAGAGCAGTTCCCCCAGGGCCAGCCCAGGCTCCAGAGGGGTCTGGGGAAAGGAGAAGCACCCTTCAGTCAGCAGCATTTTGTTGGGACTGATCCCCGAGAGCTCATGTGTCATCGGTGAGTCTGGAGCGGGTATTGGGGCTCTGGCCTTGTACCGGGCAGACCCGGGCACCCCACACCTGCCCTTCACCCCCCGCAGAGCTCTAGCTGTGCTTTGATGCCGGAAAGAGCATTTTGGGAGCTTCCCTCCATTGTATAAAGGGCTGTGGCAGATTCCTCTCCCCAAGGGGAGGATAGAGAGGGGGTCACAGGGGACAGAGCCCCCCATGCATTGGTCACTGCTTATCAGTTGTCTTCCAGAGGAGCACAGGGCTTCCTAAAGGAGTTGGAACAAACCCCTGCCCTCTGCCTGCCCCACAGATGCAGAAAACCCAGGGCCCCTAGGCCTGCCCTCCCCTGCTGCCTAAGCTGCCAGTGCCTGCTCTGCAGTGACCCATGGGCCTGTCACCCCACGGGCCCATCGCCCCATCCAGCCCACCACCCCACATATCTGGTCACCCCACGTGGCCCATCACCTCACACTGTCCTGTCACTCCACACAGCCCGTCACACAATAGCCCATCACCCCATGTGGTCCTGTCACCCTATACAGCCCATGACCCCACATAGTCCTGTCACCCACATGGCCCCCTCACCCCACTCAGCCCCTCTGAACAGATGTCTGGCTGCCTGGCTATAACCCCTGCTGACCTGTGGAAGAGGGCAGGAAGCCTAAGGAGAGCACTGGTGGGAGGAGGTGGGGACCCTGCATCCTGGGCCTACGCCAGCCCGAGCAACCCCCCCCACCTCCGCTGATGTAAAAGGGTTTGAACATCTGAGACTATCCTCAAAGCTGACTGAGCTGTGTGTCCCACCTCTGTGCTCAGAGCAGGGTGCCCTGATCCAGCTCTTGGCAGGGGAAGGAGAGAATATTCTATACTGGGGGGATGCCAGGCTCCTTCCAGGAACGAGAGGGATTTGCCTACAGAGGGGTGAGAGGGAGGGAGGGGAAGATGGTTTTGTGGTAACACAGCTGGATGTGCTGCCCGCTGTCTGACCCCACTTGTGCACCTGGTGTATGCTGGGGTGGGGCAGGGACTTCTCTGAGGGGAATCGTGAGTCCTCTAGGGTTGTTCTGGGTACCTGCTAGCCTTGAAAAGTGAACAGGCCACCTGCTGGGGGTGGGGGGGTCCAGGCAGCCTCAGTTGCTAGTGCTTTGTTTCCTACGGAAACTAGAAAACAGCATCTCCACACACCTCAACGTACATTCCTCTCTGCTGACCCAGAGCCACTGGACTCACCTGTGCTACCTCTTCCAGAATCCCGCCTTCATGGGCCAGGCCATGCATAACCTCTGTGTCCAGGTTTGAATTTCACCTGCCTGAAAAGCACCCTTCCTTTAAAAGGCCCAGCCTTGTGAGCCCAGGGGAGCTGAGATCTGAGCACTGGGGATCCCGTTTCCTACTCCCCACATAGCGCCTGGCTCCAGGGTGCTGGGCAGGTGGGCCCAGCAGTGTGAGCCTCACAGCTCAGCCAGACGGGAGCCACCCTGAGCCATGGAGTCACTGCTGACACCAACTGAGGGGGCACAGTATCAGTAGGCTAGAGAGACATGCTCGGCCAGGGTTGGGGTGGGGGGCTGACATTAGGACTGAGTGGGGATGCAGGTTCCACTGGACTCCCTCCTTGCCCTCCTGCCTGGGGCAGGGTCACCTTCAAGTGTCTTAAACACAGGATGCCTCTTCAGCCTCTAAAGCATTTGTAAATTCCTTTTTTTTTTCTTTTCTGAAACAGAGTCTCACTCTGTCACCCTGGGTAGAGTGCCACGCAACCTCAAACTCTTAGACTCAAGCCATCCTCTTGCCTCAGCCTCCTGAGTAGCTGGGACTACCTGCCACAATGCCTGGCTATTATCAGAGCTTGCACATAGGTTGGTCTTCAACTCCTGAGCTCAGGCAACCCACCTGCCTTGACCCTCCCAGAGAGCTAGGATCACAGGCATGACCCACCATATCCAGCTAAAATCTTTTTTTTAATTTGGAAATATTGAAGGGTACAAATGTTTCAGGTTATAGGGATCACTTTTGTGATGCTCAAGTCCCAGCTAAGGTGAACCTGGCACCCAAATAGCATTCATAGTACCGTTACATAGGTACCCACCTCTCCCCTCCCCAAGGATGAATTTGTAAATCCCCAGATCTTACTCTGGAGACCCCACAGAGACAGTGAAGGCAGGGTGGGTGTGTCACTAGTCGGGGCACAGATGGAGCAGCAGTCTGCAGGCCCCACACAGGTTCACAATTACGTCAGCCACACACAGCTGGCACCTGCCCCTTCCCTCTGGTGCCCTGGGAGGGGAGTGTTTCTCTAGAGGAGGGAGCTCAGCACTTGCTCTCAGAGCATCAGCACCTGCACGACCCAAGGCTGGCTCCTCAATCAGAGTTCTGAGGGGTACCTTGGACTCCCAGGGGGTTCTGTGCTCTGAGGCTTGGCCTCACCAGTAAAGAGTGAGAAAGTAACCTGACCCCATGGCAGCCAGAGAGGGTGGGGGTGTATCACCATCTTGAGGGGAAGAAGACAGTGTCCAGACCCTCATTCACCCGCCCGGCGTGCTCCAGGGGAGCCGAGAGGTAGAATTGGGTCCACCAGTATTAGATGCAATATGGTAGGAAACGTGTAATGTGGGGGCACAAACCTGGGCACCTGAGAGCCTGGGCACTTGGGGGGCGCCTGGCCTCCCCTGAGTGACTGTGCTCAGCCCCCACAGAGCAGCCCAGCCCCGGCCACCTGGTCTTTTCCCTGGTGAAAATAAACCAATCCCCACCAACGGATCCTCACCAAAATCCAACCCAAAGGCAGGAGTATGCTCTGTCCAAGGCTTCGCTCTCCTGCCAGAAATGGTTCCTGAATCCTATCTCTCATGTAAGTGTAGCCACAGGCCGTGCAGGCCTGTTCGCATCTTGGGGTCCAGTTCCAACAAGACCCAGTTCTCTCCTTTGCAGCCAAAGGCTGACTCGATTCTGCAAGTAGGGACTCGGCTGCACAATTAAAGTCAGTGCTTCACACACCAGTGCCGGGGAAAACAGACCCTTCCCAAAACTCGTCTCTACAGGTTTCTTGTGAGAGCAAATCCTCTCTGGGTCAAAGAGGGCCACAGAAGTTTCCAGAAGTCCCCTCTCCCTGGCTGACTTTCTACAGAGGCCGGCTGGAAAACAGGCACATGGCCCCAGGCCTCGCTCCCAGGGGAAGGCTCTAGCCCCTTGCTGTCTGCATCAGCCTCCAGTGGTCACCATCCCAAGCCCTCCTGGGTTGCCCTGAGGCCACCCTCGTCCTCACAGGAGGCTCCGCTAATCCCCACTGCCATTCCCACAAACTTCTCAGAGAATCTCTTTAATCCTCTGGACGACTCCAGAGTTGGGAAAGCGGCCTGGGCAGGCCCGGGGCAGCTGCTGCCAGGCTTGGACCCAACTCTCTCCCACGAGGCTTCAGGCTGAGCTGCTCTCGCCCACAGTTTCACCACGTCCCACGGTTGCACAACTGCGACACCGATTTCACCAGCTCATGACCACTTTCAAACCCTTCCGAGGGCAATCCTTTGTCCTTCTGGGCTGGGGAAGGCGCCCTGGATACCCTACTAGTCTTGCTGCCAGTTCACCTCCCCTGTAGCTGCCAGGATATTTTCTCCAAGCTTCTCCCACCCCAAGGGATGTGGCCATCCCTGATTCTCAGAGTGTGCGTGGCAGACACAGCCCAATGCTCTGTCTCCTGTTGAGGCTGCTTTTTTTTTTTTTTTTTAAGACAGAGTCTCACTATGTCCCCCTCAGTAGAGTGCCATGGCGTCACAGCTCACAGCAACCTCAAACTCTTGGGCTTAAGTGATCCTCTTGCCTCAGCCTCCTAAGTAGATGGGACCACAGGCACCCACCACAACTCCTGGCTGTTTTTTGTTGCAGTGGTCATTGTTGTTTAGCAGGGCCGGGCCGGGTTTCAACCCTCCAGCCTCAGTGTATGTGGCTGGTGCCCTAACCACTGTGCTAGGAGCACCGAGCCAGATGCTGCTCCTTTTTTATTTCTAAGTTTAGCTCAGTCTCTTGAGTTGGGCTGGGAATTCCAGGAAGAAAAGACTGTCAAATAAAAAACAGATCCAGACTCAGGAGGGAGAGTTTGTCCTGACCACTGCAGGACTATGTGGTCTGCAGCGGTCTCCGAGGCTGGGCAGAGGGGGTTTTCTCACTAGAGAGGGAACAGGCTGAAAGGAAGTGGTGGGGGAGTGGGGTGTCCCGGGACACGGTGGACAGAGAGGTTTCCCCAGGGCCAACCCAAGCTCTGGAGGGGTCTGGGGAAGGAAGAGGCTGAGCAGCTTTTGGTCAGCAGCGTTTTGTTGGGACTGATCCATGGGGGGTCATCAGTGAGGCCTGGAAAGAGTGTTCAGGGCTCTGGTCTTGTCCTGGGTAGACCCCAGGGGGTGTGGGCATCCAGGAGTCCCCTCTATGTCACACGGGGGATGGGGTTCTTTGCAGTGGGCTGTTTTTGAAACACAAGGTTCGGAGCTTCCTAACTTTTGCCGTTTCCCAGGAGCCCAGATCTCAGCAGAGGTCAACCTCACGGAGAGGAGGGTGGGTCCCTAGGCAGCTGCTCTTGGGTAACTCTCCCTCACCCAGAATACTGACAGCCTCTGCCCACCCCGCTGCTGGACACCCTCCCTGGGACTATTTCTTTTAACTTTATTCAAATTAATATGAGCGCACAGTATTTAGGTTACATTGTTCTCATTTCCAGGGTAAAGTTCCATTTGTAGAGGAGCCCCTCACCCAGGGGCCGTGTCATACACCCTCACAATGTGCACAGTGGGTGAGATCCTGCCTCCTGCCCTCCCTCCTTCTGCCATACGTCCTCCCCACCGCTTCCCTCTACCCCCCCCAAACTGGACTATAGTAGTGAGTTACTGTTTATATATCGATATCATATTAGTATGGAGTAAAAAATATAGAACGCTTCACAAATTTGCGTGTCATCCTTGTGGCAGGGGCCACACTAACCCTCTCCGTATGGTTCTGATTTTAGTGCATGCACTGCCAGAGCGAGCACCCTCCCCGGGACTTTTGAGATGCAGGTACTAGGCATGGCCTGAGACACTGTGGCTATAGCAAGCGCTGACCACGGGCTTCCTGACCCCACCCATTCAACCCACATGGTAGACACGCCTGCCCCCTGGTCCCTCAACCTCACCTTCTGGGTGTCTGGAAGGGATCAATGTGTCAGTCAGAGCCTGGGGAAACAACCCTGGCTCTTCCCCCCAGCAAAACACAACCTGGCCATAAAACAGGCCAAGGAGAGAAACATCCTGAGATCTCCCGTGGGGAGCGCTGCCCGACTCTGAATACTGCAGAAACCATTGCTTGGTACACCCACATCAGGGAGGAACAGCCGGGTGTTGAATGCTGCACACAGCACTTTTATAAATGGCGGGGCAGGGGGGATAGAGACGTAGTTCCCTTCTACATGTGGAAAGTCCCCAAGAGAGTCCCACAGACGTTGATGACCTCAGGTATAATAGGTAGGCGACCTTGAGTCCCTGGGGACAGGGAAGGAAAATTATTTCATACCGTATCATTTTGCTCCTTTTGAAGTTTGAATCTCGTGAAATTCATCCATTTTCCAAACAGTGCTTTTTTCGTTTTGCTTTTTGAGACAGAATCTCATTCTGTCACCCTGGGTAGAGTGCCATAGTGCCATGTCACCAGAGCTCACAGCAACCTCAAACTCCTGGGCTTAAGCGATTCTCCTGCCTTAGCCTCCTGAGTAGGTGGGACTACAGGCGCCCTCCACGATGACCAGCTAACTTTTCTATTTTTAGTAAGGACAGTCTTACTTTTGCTCAAGCTGGTCTCCAACTCCTGAACTCAGACGATCCACCCACCTCAGCCTCCCAAAGTGCTGGGATTACAGGTGTGAGCCACTGTACCTGGCAAAACAGTGCTTTTTAAATGTGGGTTGTTTTTTTTTTTTTTTTTGAGACAGAGCCTCAAGCTGTCCCCCTGGGTAGAGTGCCGTGGCATTACAGCTCATAGCAACCTCCAACTCCTGGGCTCAAGCAAGTCTCCTGCCTCAGCCTCCCAAGTAGCTGGGACTACAGGCGCCCGCCACAACGCCTGGCCATTTTTTGGTTGCAACCATCATTGTTGTTTGGCGGGCCCAGGCTGGGGATTCGAACCTGCCACCTTCGTATGTGGCTGGCACCTTAGCCGCTTGAGCCACAGGCGCCGAGCCTTAAATGTGGTTTTAAATGTCAGTGGGCTTTGTGGGGAGCTCTGACCCGAGTAGGCTCTGCAGGTGCACTCGGGGGCACCCTGTGCTGTGCTCAGAGTTCATGCAGGGCGCCACAGCATCACACTGCACCATTGCGATCCAGCCTACGCTGCCCTCTGACCACTGCGGTCAGGCTTTCTTCTTCATCTTGCTGTGTAATCTCCACATGTCCTGCAGGCCCCAGGGCCCCACCCAGGGATGTCCAGTGTCTCTTCCTCCCCAGCTTGGGTGTCTGACTTTGACCCTGGACCCATGACTACTCAGAACCTCAAGGGACGGGCAGAGTAGGGGTCAGGAGGGAAGAGGAACTCCCCCATCTCTGGGCCGTGCAGGTTGCCCCTTGTCTCTGCAGGGAACTTGAGGGCAGGATTTCCTGTGCTCATGTGTCTCAGAGTTACTAGCCCAGGCTGTCCTCTGCCTGCTGAGGGTCAGGGGGTCCAGAGCACGTAGGGACCAGATGCCTTTGAGACCCCAAAAAGTCCATATTGGCTCCGTTCACTGGTTCTCTGCTTGCTTCCGCAGGGCTGCCTGGCCGGGGATGGGGTGGGAGGACCTCTGGTGACCTCACTGCTGCCCCAGGAGTACAGAACATCCACTGGGAATGTGGGCTCCACCCTGCTGCCCGTGTCCTCAGGGCAAACTTCTCCATCTTCCTGGGAAGCTCCTACTCTCCCGTCCACGAGGTGACAGACTGGCCACAACCCTGGCTGCAATGAGTCAGAGTCTCAAAGTGGACCTCCCATACTGGTCATCAGGGCCAGGGCTGTGCTTTATAGATAGAGGAACTGAGGCAGAGAGGGAGGGAGGGAGAGAAAAAGCAAGAGAAGAAATGAGAGAGACAGACAGTGAGAGTGAAGGTGGAGACCTTCAGCCTGGCATCCCAGCGAGGGATGAAACCGAGATGTAGACTGCCTGAGCTCCAGTTAGGGTTTTGCCTTTTTAATCAGAGAGAAGGTGCAAAGGAGGCCAGGCCACCTGCCCCAGGAAGTAACCATCAAGCATGAGGGGACTTGGGCGGGGGTGGGGTGGAGGGTCGGACTGGCTAGATCCAGGGAAACACAGCAGGTGTGAGGCCCTCTGGTTCTGGAAGGCGTCTAAGGAGGTTCACCAGATCCCATAAGACAGACCGAGCAGCCTCGGGTGGGACCGGCTCCCCCAAAGCAGCTCCCGTGTGACTTGTCATCACCTGGGGGTGCGTAGACCACGAGTTGCTGTCACTATTTCTATCCCTGCTGTGGTGAGCAATGGGAGGAGCCAGGAGAGGACACCTGAGGACAGCCCAGGGCTAAAGACCCAGCTCCCAGGTTAAAGACCGAGCTCCCAGGTGGTCCCTGGCTTCCTGCGCCCCGGCCTGCGGTCTTCTCTTTCCAGTGGCTCTCCCCTTCCTGCTCAGCCTTCCCTCAGTTACTGGAATGTTCCATGGCCAGGACATGCCTCAGGAGTCGTCCCCAGAAGCAGGCCCTCTGTCCACTCATCCAGATACCAAACAAAGGCAGTGTCCTCACAATTTCCCCGTCCACCCGGGTTTGGGGGGCAGGGTATGTGAGTCTGATGCAGCCCCAGACTTTGCCTGTGGATTCGAGCCCCAGGCCTGGTTCGTGGACACCTGCAACAGCCATGAGCACTGATGAGCGGAATCACAACTCCATCCCCTGTAGGCACCATCAGGTCGAAAGTAGCTGGCTACTCGACTTGGTCCAGCCCTGGAGTGGACGCTGCAGGGTGCAGCCCAGATGCCCAGTCAGAACTGGCCTCACCATCCTCAGGTGCCACTGGTGGCTCTCAGCTGAGCCCTCCCAACTTGCTTTTGGCTGGAGGGGGCCGCACATCCAAATCTGTCCCTCTCTGATGGCAGCCAGCCTACAATGACAATGGACATGTGAGTCCCCTTAGGGTTTGCAGTGACAGATACCGCAAGTGGGGTGGCCTGAACAACAGATTGCATTGTCTCAGACCTGGAGGTCACCCTCTGAGAGACCACTGTTAGACCATCTTGAGTGGCTTTTGTTGGTCTCATTGAAGAAAACACAGGTTCTGAAGGTCTCTGTACCAGTGTCCAGGAACTGTCCTAACGAACAGTCACATTCCAGCAGCTTGAACTACGGACATCCATTTTTCACAATTCTGTGGGCAGAAGTCCAACATCAGGGTGTTTCAGGGCCGTGCTCCTTCTGCAGGCTCAGGGAGGCCCCTTCCTGTCTCTTCCAGCTCTTGGGGACTGCAGGTGTCCCGAGTCTGCCAGCCTCCACCTGGCTGTCCTCCCCTATGTCTGTCTCCTGCTCTCAGAGACAGAAAGGAAGAGAAGAAATGAGAGAGACAGACAGTGAGAGCGAAGGAGGGAGCCATCAGCCTGCTGTGATGCCTTCCAGTGCAGGCTCGGCCTGACCCTGATGGTCTCACCCCCATCTCTGCCTCAGTTACACCTGTAAAGTCTGAGGTTCCAGATAGACATTAATGGTGCGGGGCACAATCTAGCCATGCAGACTCTGCCAGTGCCATCTCCTTCCTTCCTCCAATGGGAACTTTCCAGTCTTGGTCCAGATAGAAACCCTTGGCGGAGTGTCTCTTGGGCCTGCCCCTGTCTCTCAGTCCTAGCTGACCCCCAGCCGTCTCAAGCCTCCCTCTTGGCTCGGGGAGAAAGAGGAACTCTCCCATCTGCTCTGCCAGTGGGTGGGTCACATAGCTGGGTGTAGGGCAGGCCACCTGAGTACAGGCGGGTGCTTGGCAGTGATTCGCAGAGGGGGCTCAGGTGGTCAAGGCCCCAGCATTGGACAGCACCAAGGAGAATGCTGAGAAACTCGAGTCCTCTTGGCCTTGCTGACCACATCAGAACATCCCCAGTGCCACGTGCCTGACACCTCTTAATACTTCTAAATTTCCTTCTCAGCAAACCTCGGCAAACAACCAAAACCAGCTGGAATTTAATGCTGATATTTTATTTCCTTGGAGTTTGTGAGGGGTGGGGAGGGTCCCATCACTGGATCACAAACCGTTTTCTTTTCTTTTGGAGACAGGGTCTCACTCTATGGCCCAGGCTGGAGTGCAGTGGCACAATCACAGCTCATTGCAACCTTTAATTCCTGGGCTCAAGTGATCCTGCCTCCTGCCTCAGCCTGCCCAGCAGCTGGGGCTGATGACAGGCGTGCACCACCACGTGTGGCTAATTTTTTTTTCTTTTTTTGGCAAAGACAGGGCTCTTGCTGGGTTGCCCAGGCTCCAGGCTGGCCTCAAGGGAACTTCCTGCATCAGCCTTCCAAAGTGCTGGGATCACAGGCGTGAGCAAGCATACCCAGCTCATTTTGTTTACTTTGTATCTGTTTCTGTATTTACCATTTATTTATGACAAGAGATGATGGTTTTCTATTTAAATAAATAAAGTGTGTTTGTTTAAAGAAAAATATTAAGTGGGCCAGGCGCGGTGGCTCGCCCCTGTAATCCAAGCACTCGGAAGCTGAGGCAGGTGGATTGCCTGAGCTCACGGGTTCGAGACCACCTTAGCCAAAGCAAGACTTTGTCTCTAAAAGTAGCCGGGGTTTGTGGTGGGTGTCTGTAGTCCCAGTTACTCTGGAGGTTGAGGCAAGAGAATCGCTTGAGCCCAAGAGTTTGAGGTTGCTGTGAGTTGTGACGCTATAGCCCTCTACAGAGGGTGACATGGTGAGATTCTGTCTCAAAAAAAAAAAAAGAAGAAGAAGAAGAAGAAGAAACATATTGAGTGAAAAAGAACACAAGTGTCAGAGGTTACGGCAAAATAGCTACTCAAGTCCTAGGATGATGGATGT